GATACGGTCCTTTCTTGGAAAGTCCCTTATGCTGGAGGACTCTAAACTTTCGCAGTACTAAGTATAAAAGGATACGGTCCTTTCTTGGAAAGTCCCTTGTGCGGGAGGACTCTAAACTTTCGCAGTACTAAGTAAAGAAGGATACGGTCCTTGTTAAATCGGGCTACGGGCCTAAGTAACGCAAGTCCCTTGTGCTGGAGGACTCTAAACTTTCGCAGTACTAAGTAAAGAAGGATACGGTCCTTGTTAAATCGGGCTACGGGCCTAAGTAACGCAAGTCCCTTGTGCTGGAGGACTCTAAACTTTCGCAGTACTAAGTAAAGAAGGATACGGTCCTTGTTAAATCGGGCTACGGGCCTAAGTAACGCAAGTCCCTTGTGCTGGAGGACTCTAAACTTTCGCAGTACTAAGTAAAGAAGGATACGGTCCTTGTTAAATCGGGCTACGGGCCTAAGTAACGCAAGTCCCTTGTGCTGGAGGACTCTAAACTTTCGCAGTACTAAGTAAAGAAGGATACGGTCCTTGTTAAATCGGGCTACGGGCCTAAGTAACGCAAGTCCCTTGTGCTGGAGGACTCTAAACTTTCGCAGTACTAAGTAAAGAAGGATACGGTCCTTGTTAAATCGGGCTACGGGCCTAAGTAACGCAAGTCCCTTGTGCTGGAGGACTCTAAACTTTCGCAGTACTAAGTAAAGAAGGATACGGTCCTTGTTAAATCGGGCTACGGGCCTAAGTAACGCAAGTCCCTTGTGCTGGAGGACTCTAAATATATGTAGGTAACAAGCAAGAAGTCGGCTACGCCGAGATGTGTGTTTTGCAAGATGTTTTGGATGCATGTTTATGTCGGCAATCCGAAGATTATATTTCTTAACTTGCATTTCATGTATTTTGTTTATGTCGGCTTGTGAAAGCCCTTTGTAAGATGTAATATGTATTTTTGTACTTGGCTTTAATTGTGGTCAAGTTGTAAAGCTCTGTAAAGATGTATGCCATTCCATTTGACTTATGCACTGCTCTTATGGACCACTTGTATTTTAGATTATTGCTTCCACACTTGTGAGCCCCCTATATCTATACTCTGATTATGTTAAGTTTTTGAAAGTTGGCCTTCGGTAATTACGGATTACTGGCCATCACGGCACCAAACTACTAGGGGCGGTTTGGGGTCGTGACACCAGGTCCATGTTTTCGAACTCATCCCATGAAATCTCTGACTTTGAATAAAGAAGTTATGATTTTAGCATTCATATTCTTCATGTTTTGTTCTTCATGATCTTCAAAGAGAAACCCATATTTTCTAAACTTCATCTCCTGAAGGTGGTCGTCGGGATCACACCTCGGCCAAGAGGTGTGGGACCTCGGCATAGACCTGATTGGTACCCAGTATGTTTTCCCGAGATATAAAACAATGTTTAAACTCCGAGCATGTTTTGCTTTGTTTTGACTTGGTTTTGAAAGAAATGTCGAAATCTTTCCCTGTCATGTAAAGCTTGTTTTAAGGATGCATTTCATATCCATGTTTGAGCATCTCTTCTTGTCTTTTTGAAATGAATCCAATGGGATTTATTATGTACTTGTAGGCCTTGGATCCTTGCTTGTAATCCCCATACCTGCAGAACTATGCGAATGGTATTTTTAATAAAGTTATGTTATAAAGTTTTGATAAAGCTTTGCTTTGTTTTGTTTTGGAAAAGTATTTGTTAAGCATGAATGATTATCCCTATTTTGTGTATCAAGTATTAGCCTTGTTTTGGATGACATTCTTGGCAAGTCCGTACGTGCTAGGGGACTTTAAACCTTTGTAGCACAAGTCCTTACGTGTTAGAGGACTTTAAGCCTTTGTAACACAAGTCCTTACGTGCTAGAGGACTCTAAGCTTTTGTAGCACCTTTGTTAACATCATCCCTTGTATTATTGGTGCTAATAGGCACCCCTTGAAGCTTTGAAAGATTTGATAGATGGACTCGATCCATCCCTTGATTCTGATATAAGATATGCTATGTATTGTTTTGAAAAGAGATCTTGAATGTCATTCATGCAAACCTTTATTATTAATATCATTCACTGAGTATCCAAGCTCACCCTCTCTTATATATATATGTAGGTGATGAGCAGGTTGGCGGCGACGCCTAGAAGTTATTTGAGATTTGTTTTGGATTCGTGTTTTTGCAGCATCTTAAAGATTATGCTTCTTAGCTTTGTAGATCATATATTGTTTTGTGTATGCCGGCTTGAGAAGCCTTTTGGTCAAGATGTAATATTTGTGCTTTATTTCATTTGTGTTCAAGTTGTAAACTGTGTTAAAATGTATGTCATTCCGTTGATCTATGCATAGCTCTTAAGGACTACTTAAATTTGAATTTATTGCTTTCGCATTTGTAAGCCCCATATTTATACTCTGAATGTGTGAATCCTTGTAAGTGGCCTTCGGTAATCTCGGATTACCGGCCATCATAACACCATTCTACTAGGGGCGGAATGGGGTCGTGACAGATTGGTATCAAAGCACGAGTTTCTTATAGTATGTTATTCACACACTTTGAGTCCTAAAGAGCTCAGGTTTTCCCTTAGAATGATTTTAGGATTGCATCATATTGCTTGCTGCTTGACAAGGTGTGCATCATCTCGGCATGACTATTTGTTACTTGCGTGCATGTCTGTTTGCTCATTTTGTTTTAAAGTCATATTTTGCATACTCTTAGCATCATGAGAAGGGGTAGACCTCCGGTTGGCCGAGATCATTTCGAAGATAGACTGGATAGACTGAAAAGGTTGGTCGAAGGTTTGGTTCGTGAGTTGAGACAACCTAGGCCATAGAATACTAGTTGTGATACCCCTGTTCCGTAATGGGTTAATTAGTCCTTAAAATGAGTATGATTATGTGTTTAGCCTGATTTTGTGTGCCAATATGTGAAAATATGTGGTTTTGAATTTCTATCTGTTCACCGTAGGAATATCTGTTCGATTATCTGCTTTGGAAATTAAATTAAGGGCCCTATCGGCCACAGAACCCGAAATTGATTACGCCATTGTGATTAGCGTAATTTTTAGAGCCTACGGTGAAATTTAATTGAAAATTGATTTGGGTCAGATTAAATTGATTTATTTAATGGCATTGTTCTCAAATTGTTTAATATTTTAATTGTGGCAAGTGGGGCTTGTTGTATATGAGCACTACTCAATCAAACTCCCTCTTTAATTCTCACTTGGCTGATATACACTCTAAGGAGAGGAGAGGGCCAGCCATTAGAGAGAGAGAAGAGAGAAAAATCTGTGTTTGATCTTGAGCGCTTGGAATTTTGAAGTCCAACTCAAATTGGACCATAGATTGAAGAATTGGACTTCTAGGTAAGCCATTGACTCTTGAAATCATGAATTGAGCTTGTAATCTTGTGAGCTCAAAGTATTTTTGTGATCAAGAGCATGATTTAAATTGGTTTTGATGAGATATGATCATGCATACATAAGATTACTTTTGAATTGCTATAAGTTGCAAAATCTAGCATGTATCATGTCAATTAAGCAAGATTTGAAGTTTGATCATGCATGCAAGCTTGGTTTTGTTGAGCTTTATGGGAATAGGCACCACTTGCATCTTTTGAAATAGAAATGAAGTCAAGATGGGCATGCATGTTTGAATAATTGAAGATGGGAGCTTGAAATGCATGAATATGTATGATAGAATCGAATTTGGTGTCAATTTGAGACATGCAAGTGCGTAATCCTTGAAATTGAGCTCCATAATAATGTGTTTTGGTGTTTGTACCTTGTTAGCATGATTATATTTGAGATTTGAGCCATTGCAAATGGCTTGCAAACACTGACTTGGTCATCATAGTTTAAATTGCTGCCTTTGTAGTGTTTGTTTGTGTAGTCATCTTTTACATTCAAGAATTTAGAAAGAGTTATTGAAAAGCTAGCAATGAGCAGATAATCAATAAAAAGGTTAACAAAAGAGAAATAATTAAAGAAAACTGAAAGTTGAATAAGTTGAGTGTTTTACTTGAAATCAATTGTTTGGCAGGAAAGATAAATTAATTATTTGTTATAATCAGTTAGAATCTTTATGCATAGATGGATTTCAAATGAAGGGATTTGAGATTCAAATATAGGAGAGATGATTGTAATAAATAGATTAGGAGAAGATATTGTATAGTAAGAAGATGAGTAATTTGCTATGATCTTTGTATAATTCTAAACCATAGTGTAAAGGCTGTCATTCATCATAATCTATCATGATGTATATCTCTTAAATTTAATCTTGAAATCCTTGAATAATTAATCCACAAATCCTTTCACCCAAAATCTACAAATTCAAGCACAACGTAACAGAACTTCCATTCCACATTAGGGCAAATTATAGGAAACGAAATAATTGATATTTCACAAAACAATTGTGGTGGTGGTGACACCATGGCTAGAACTCTATTTTAACAGACAAGTTTGATTCCAGCGATTGCAATCCCAAAAGGTATAATTAGCTTCTGGGATGTTCATGATTTTCAAATAGTCATCACCTTGTTTGCCCTGTAGTCTCATAATCAATTCATTTTTCATGTCAGAAAAAGCAAGTGACTTCAGATTGGTGAGGAATTCAATACCTGCCGGCACGTTTTCTAGTGATTCGCAGCAGATAATCTTGAGATCTTCCAGATGAGGCATTGCCCCATCTTCCACCGAGACCCTTCTCAGCGCTTTCAAGTCATGAAGATGCAATATCTTTAGGCCTTGGAACCCTCCAGCCTTAAATTGTAATACATCACCATCATACGCCTGGCGAAGTTGAAGTTCCACTAGATTTGGCAAAGCCTGAAGAGACTCCAGTGGATCAACCCTTAGCGGACTCCACCTTAAGCGTAGTTTGACTAGGCTATGCATTGAAGTTATCCAAGGTGGTAGAGTCTCCAAACGTCCTTGCAACCATAGCCGTTGTAGATAGGGAGGAGGAGAAGACATGTGTTGGACATCAATGACCTCATCCTCCTCTATTGAACTTACATCTAATGAACGAAGGTTGCGAAGGTTTTCAATGGAGGAGCACAATGCCCCCCATCCTCTCTCCTCAACTTGGTAATGCCTAACTTCCTCAGTTGGGTTAGCTTTCCTACCTCATTTAATATATCACTACTTTGATTTGCTTCAACAAAACAGAGCTTTTGCAGGGATTGCAAATCGCCCATCCCCAATGGTGGCTTGAAACCGTAGGTGGAGTGAAAGGGTGAAGATCTTTTCACGTAACGATACACCAAAAGATGGCGTAGTTTTTGGAGCTTTAGAATTTCAACAGGCAATTCAGTTACACTGGCATGTTTGAGATCCAGTGTCTCTAGGTTTACAAGCCTCCCAATAGAGCTTGGAATCTTTTTCACCCTTGTTTTTCTCAAGCTTAAATACCTTAAAAGGTACAATTCAAAGATTTCATTTGGAAGAGACTCCAAAGGTGCACCTTGCAAATCTAATACCTTGAGCAGCCTGGGGACACCAGTAAGCAATGTAGAGATGGGTAATTTAGATGGCATGTCTGCGACCCCAAACGTGAACAGAGAACGAAGATGGGAGAGCCTCTTGCCCTTTTCCACATTTCTACATGTTTTATGAATTGACAAGCGCCGGATTCTTTCAAGCCACTGTGTGTTGTTTCTGTTGGCAATTGTTACAAAGTTTAGTTCTCTTGACTTGGAAAGAGAAATTTCACGCAAAAGGTCGTGGATGCGGCATGTGCTAACCCTTCCATTTCTAGTTGTTGTTGCTATTTGGACTAAGCTTCTATTGACAAGCTCATTGAGGTAGCTCTCAGCAATTTCTTCTGGCATCTGCCCTTCTCTTACTTGTACAAATCCTTCTGCCACCCACAATCTAATCAGTCTCATACGCTTAATAAAATAATTGTTGGGGAAAATGCTGAAGTACAGGAAACAAGGTTTCAAATAGCCTGGCAATTCATCATAACTGAGTGACAATATTCGCTTCATACTATCAAGTTTGTCATCACCTTCTATATGAGCACCAAGGCTGTGCTGAACTATCTCCATTGATCAATCTTACCTTTGTCTTTTGTAGCCAGAAGGCCACTGATTGCCGCAATTGCAAGTGGCAATCCTTCGCATCTTCTTAAGATACGTCGAGAAATTTCATTCAAATGTGGAGGACAAGTGTCTGCTTTGAATGTCTTTCTGTAAAATAGGTTCCAAGACTCTTCCCGTGACAAGGGTTCTAAAGGATATGTGACACTACCATCGAATATGGTGCTGGTGGTGGAAGCTATATCAGCAATTCGTGTTGTGAGCATAACCCGACTCCCACATTGACAGTTAGGTAATGCATATTTTAGAGCTTTACATGCATCTATCCTCCAGATATCATCTAAAACAATTACATACCTCTTTTGACTCAAAAATTCGTTTATTTGCATTTTCAGATCATGGCTGCCCATGTCATTAATTCTTTGAGGGACTGGTTGCTTGATCTCAGCAAAGAGTTGCACAATTATGTCCTTTAGGAACTCCTCAACCACAAATGTCTGAGAAACTGTGATCCAAACATGGGTTTGGAAATGCCTTTTAACTTTTGAGTCTTCATAAATCTTCCTTACCAGTGTAGTTTTGCCCATCCCTCCCATTCCAACCACCGAGATGATTTTGAGTTCAGGCTCATCCTCCAAAAGGTGCTCAATCAGCTGCTTCTTGCGCTTGTCGATGCCTACTAGCTCAGCCTCTTCTACGAGAAGTGCATCCCCTCGGCAGTCATGCCATGTGCTGTTTGAAACAGTGGAGGAGGTTGAGCCCTCCTCCACAATGTTACATTTGTAGCGGTATCTCTGACGCCCCTCAGAGATATTTCTGACTCTTGTTTTGATGTGTTTCATTCTTGAAGCAATCCGATGGCGAGCTTTCAAGTTCAGGATAGAGTGAAAAAAATTCAGAAAAGAACGAAAAAACCCCTGCTGCCTATGATGATGATTTTCCACATGAAGCTTGAACTCATCTAGGACATCGTTGGTGTCATAAACAACATCTCTTACTTGCTTAACCCATACTTTGAGTTCTTCGTCACTTTCGTGTGATGCCTGATCTGCAACGTTTAGGAAGGCTGTCATACGCTCCAATTCATCCTTTATGTACGTAACTTCTCCCCAAACACCTCTCAATAGTTTCACCTCCTCGTGGTGTAAGGCTGCTATCAGCTTTTTGAGTAGAAATGTGACTGCACTCTCTGCCATTCTCTACTTAATTTTCACACACACTCACAAGAAACCTATAGAAACACAATTCTGTTCTCAGTGGTTTAGATATTAGTTCTCTTGACCTTTTATGTTGTTGTGAGTTTTCCAGGAAGATCATGAAAGGTTATTGGATAGGCATTGGTTAAGCAGTGGTTGCGGTTTTTTCATGGAATCTTCAAACTCTCATTGTGTGTTGGAGATTAAATGGAGAAAAGCCTGGTATGATGGTCACTGCAAGGGATTGGACATTTATATAGGTTGCCCAAAAAGCAACCTAAGAGGGGTGAATTAGCTTTTTACAATTAAAATTAATAATACCCTAATAAAAATTATGATTAGCACATTAGATAAATATAATTAATGAAATAAAAATAATTAAAACAAGGGTCTTAACAACTATGTCAGTTAATGATTTTAGTACAGTAAAAATGTGAAATATAGTTGTGGCAATTTAAAATAAAATAAAGAGATAAGGGAGAGAGAGACAAACAAATTTATAGTGGTTCGGTTTCAACTCGGCCTACGTCCACTCCTCAAGCTTCACTTGAGATTTTTCACTATCTTCTAGCTTCATAGGGATGCTAGCAATTTCTTTACAAATGGAGCAATCCTCCACGGATTTTACACAGACTTCACAAGTCCAAACCCTTGCAAATCTTAGGTGATTCACAATCACTCTCAAGATTTCAAGAACACAGTGTTTGCAACACTTTTACAAAATGAAATAGTATTTTTGCTTTCAAAGAAAGTTTACAATAAATATCTCTCAAAGATAGATATATAAAATGAAGCTTTGATTTTTCTGTAAATCTCACACATGAAAGATGGGCTTAAAGCTATAAGACTCAGTGTATAATTTCTGAGAATAAATGTGAGTAATTATAGATCAAAGAATATTTTCAGATTTTTTGTAACTTGTTTACATTAGAGGCTTTGGTGTATATAATGAAAATTATAGCCGTTGTATTCATTTGAATTTATAACCATTGTAGTCATTTGAATTTATAGCTGTTTATAGCCGTTGTACTTCCATCATTACCAATTTGAATGTCTTCCACTCCATCATTACAAATTTGAATATCTTCCACTTGAATCTTTTGAACCTTTTGGCCTTTTGAACCTTTATAGCCGTTTATAGCCGTTGTACTTCCATCATTACTAATTTGAGTATCTTCCACTTGAACCTTTTGAACCTTTTGGCCTACTGCTGTGCTAGGTTGTTTGAACTTTTGTTTTGGACTGTTTGAACTCTTGATTTAATCAAATATTAAATACATTCTAACAACATTTAGAATAAAAGTTTAGGTGAGAAATAATGGGACAAAATAAATTTTGATTCTATTTTTGTCTTTCGAATAAATCATCAAAATAAATTTTGATTCTATTTTTCTCTTTCAAATAAATCATCAAAATAAATTTTGGATTCTATTTTTCTCTTTCAAATAAATTAAAACATAATTAAATAAATCATCAAAATAAATAAGTCTAACAATATACTTTCCTGGTAAGTCCCAATTAATACACAGGTAGGGAGATTCGAACTATTGACCTCCTAGTAAGGTGCAGTAGTTTTGGCCAATCGGACTAACCCGTTTGGTTTAGTCAAGTAGAATCTAGAAGCCTAATTTAATTAAATTTTTTTTTATAATTAAAGATGAAAATAAATCAACAAAAAAGTTAGCTAAAAAAAACTAACCCAAACATCTAAATGTCATTATAATCAATAATTCATATTGATTTTTTTTCTAAATTCAATGATTGCAAGTAAGACATTTGGGGTGTGGCTCTAGTAGCCATGCCTTGGACTGTGATAAGTCGGACTCTGATAGAGTAACAGTGAATCTTTTAACACTACAACAAAAAGCACTTTTGGCGACTAAAATTACATTCTTCGTCGTTGAAAGTAGTACAATTGGCGACTAAAATGGAATTAGTCGCCAAAATTGATAACTTTTGCCGACTAAAAGAGTTTAGTCGCCAAATATAAGGGTATTAGCGACTGAAGGCAGTTTAGTCGCCGAATGTAGGGGTTTTAGCGACTAAAGGTTGTTTAGTAGCCAAAAGTCACGGTTTTTGGTTACTAAACTTGATTTCGTAGCCAAAAGTCACGGTTTTTGGCGACTAAACCTGATTTAGTAGCCAAAAGTGATGGTTTTGGCGACTAAAAACAGTTTAGTCGCTGAAAGTGAAGCTTTTTGGCTACAAAAAAAAATTAGTAGCTAAAAACAGTCCTTTGCCGACTAAAATTCAGTTTAGTAGCCAAAAAGGGACGTTTTTGGCGACTAAAAACAGGTTTAGTTGCGAAAACTGCTTATTTCTAGGCAGAACTTAATTATTTAGCGACTAAATAATAATTAGTAGCCGAAAATGATAGAATTGGCGACTAAAAATTTAATTTAGTCGCCAAAAGTGGCCTAAATTTTTTTTAAGTAAATAATTTATTTTTTACATAAATTATATTGAATTAAAAAAATTATATTTTTATATATTATTTTGTATTAATACCGGTTAATATACTATATAAATAATATATATTGCATATATATTCATGTGATGTTGTAGTGGCATAATGGAGAGAGTGTGTTGCAAAAAGGTTCGGAATGTGGGACGGTTGGGGTTTGAAACTCAGAAAAAGCAAAAAAAAGTGGGTTTTTTTTTTTTCGACGGAAACACCTTTGTAGACTAAAATTATTAGTCGTCAAAAGTCTTTATTTTGGCGACTAAACGGTTTAGTCGGCGATTGTGTAAGTATTGGCGACTAAATTATTAGTCGGTAAATGTATGATTTTCAAAAGTGTAAAACACTATTGGCGACTAAAAAAGTTTTAGTCGCCAATACCTCCGGCGACCACATATACGCGACAAATGTGGCGACTAAAAAATTTTGTCGGGGAAAGTAAAATTTCGACTTTCGGCGACTAAAAACGGACTTTTGGCGACTAAAAATTTAATCGCTAAAAGTACTTTTTTTTTTGTAGTGTAAGTTAATGTTCTTTTTCTCTTTGTGACTATGGCAAAGGAAAGAAACTGTTGCGTTCGGCGAACTGGTTTTCCCATGTGAAAAGAAAAAGACAAAAAGGAAAAGTTGAGAAGGAAATGAAAGGAAAAGTGAAAGCCACCATCATCTTTGCTTCTTTATACTCTTTTTTATGTATACTATTGAAGAAAATGAATAATTTTGCAATTGGATACATCAAATGTGATGATGAACCACTGTAGTAGTGAGGAAGAAAGACAAATAACTGAATTAGTAGTCTGGGCTAGTTAAAACTTAATAGTCTGTTTAGTTTGAAATTTTCAAAAATAATTTTTTCAATTTTCAATTTGTATCTTGTACTTTTAGTGATTTTTTAAAATATTTTAATTATTATTATTATTATTTATTTTTATATCCTCTTAATCTTGATATACGTAAAAAATATAAAATTTGTACCAAACTCTTTACAAAAATCATTGAATGCAACAAAACATGAAAACTTATTGAATTTTTATATTTTTGGTATTTAGTGAATTTTTTAATTTTTTTTTACAAATATTATACTTTTTAAGTGTAGGTATATCTAAAAAACCAAAAACAAAATTACTTAAAATATTAAAAAATTCTTCAAAAATAAAAAAATACAAAAAATAAAAAATTCAATTTTTTAAAAAATAATGTAAATACTTGAATATTTCAGCAGGTGATTTAATACAATATATATACACATTAATCATTTATGTTGGATGTGGCATCTAAGTTAAAATATCTCTTGGTTTATTGTTTTTTTTGTTGGATAAAAAAGGACAGGAGGGGACGGGACGATTGTTGCAGCAAAAACGGTAGAGATCCCAAAAGTTTTACTAAATTTTTTGTCAAATGTCTCGCATGGGTGTGAGACTCACACTAACATTACTCATTGGTGCAGCATATATGAATAACTTATTAGTTTATTTTTTAATTGTGTAATTTTTATTTATTGGAAAAGGTTAATTATCTTAAAATTGAAAAAGATTCTATTTTAACTTACAATAAATTGAAAGTGTATTATTGAGTTGGAATGATATGGTTGGGAATCAAATTTTTTGACAGAGGTCATTTGTGTTGTTCAAATTTTGAAATTAAATAAATAGATTTATGAAGAAAACAAATTATATATATACTAAGAACACATGCTAATAATTACAACTAAATTTCAATAGAAATACACAAAAGGGTAAAGAGACGAAACCGAAGCCTGCACGGAAGCAGTTTCCTTAAAACAGATTTCGCCGCCTCACTGGTCGAGTGCTTGAGGAATCCCGGCGTCTGTCTCCCAGGATACGACGGTCAAAACCAGCTACGGCCGAAGCACTTTCTGTCTAGCTTAGCGAACAAAACAGTGGCAGCACTCTCTCACTGTAGGAACTTTCAGGCAAACTGACTTGTGAAATGGAAGTAAAAAATTTCTGTGTTTGAGACTTGACAGGAGGGTCTCAATTTATACATGTATAGGGGAGAGAGGAAGAGCCTCCAGCCTTTATGGCTATTCATAATGCACCATTAACCTCTGCAATAAAAGCAGGAGTTACAAACCCCATTAATGCAGGAGTTACAAACCCCATTAATGCAGGAGTTACAAACTTCATTACCTTTTTTCCATGAAGCTAACTTCATGAGGTAATTTCTCATTCAAATCTTAATGATTTTTGGCCATTCTATCTGTGGTGTAAAGATCTCAATGCAAAGTATCTAGACCCACTTGGACCCAACACAATAGATGGTTGGGACCCACTTTAATCTTTAATTAAAGTCACCAAAAAACTATTTTTTCCAACAATCCCCCACATGAATAAAAATTGACCGAATGACTCAACAAACGAACACCGTTCAACAATAATGACTCTGAGAGAGAGTACAACGGACTAACCCCGACATCAGAGAAAGTAGCTTTTGGCTTTGAACCTCTCCTAATGAAAACCTATCCAGTTTACTGGCTGATCAGTGAATAAAACATCTTGAATTGCTCTGCCGTTTATGC